TGGTCCCCCCCCCCCCCCGCAGCAAGTCTCAATGATTCTTTTCCATCCAGTCCCAGCTTTCATCACTGTCCTTCCTGTTCTTTTCTGCTTCGATGATCTCCCTGTAGCGCCGACGGAAGAAGCCCATCTGTTAAAGAGGGAGAGAAGAATAAGGTTTCAGGTCGTTGGCAAAGTGTATCTGTGGTCGGATCAGACTCTCCAGGTGAAAAATGTAATCCTCATCAGCGCTGGCTCTTCTCCGAATCATAATAAATATGATCATTATTTGACTGAAAGTATTTATAACAAAAACTATTTATCCTAATACATTCAGGTTTTATTTTTAATTGAACACTGAATACTCTCAGTTGAATTGAGTTTGAGAAGTTAAAAAAACTGACTTGACTTAATTTTTTTTATTTCTCGGTAATGTTTGGAACACATTTTAGATTATGAAAGAAATGCTTTCTTCTATTGACTAACTTTAAGCTTTTTCTTTCATTAATAGTATTTTTTTATGAATTGAATTCTTATTTTTATCTTATCTACACAAACCTGGTGATGCTTGAAATGCATAGAAATGTGAACCTAAGATTTCCAGGGTAATCTGATGATATGATTAATCTGAAAAACTCCTGTGATGTATTCAGCTTTCTTTTTTATTACCTCTCGTATTTCAACTGTAAATGTTGTCGTTGTAAGGTAACAGTCTCCTACACAGAAGTTATGCTCCCTTTGAGATCACTTTCTAAAATAAATATTAATAACTTTTTTAATAAACACAGGTGTGTATTACAGTAACATGTCAAAAGGCAAAGCCAGCAGCACTGACGGGAGTAAAGTCAGCACTTCCTCTGCAGAACTGTGTTGTTTAATCCACCATTGTACTTCACACACACACGTACAGTGAGTCACATATAAATGAAACATACTTCTCTCACTACGACTCCGTTCACTTATCAGTATTTCAGCTTCAGTTTATTGACACAGACCTGTGTCCTGGTCAGGCATTTCCTGACACACAGCAACACGGGGCATGTGCTGCTCATGTAAGTGAGGTTTATTTTGGCAAGGTCCAAGGACCTGGGGTTTATGGGGGGAAAGGATTCCTGAAGCAACATTCCAAGGTTTAGTTGTGGTATTCCCATTGGTAAATAGAACAGAATAGTGTAAAAGAGAAAGGAGTTTTGTGCTAACGGGGCCTCTGGACGTCAGTGTATTTACCACTTCCTCTTCAGATTCTACTGTCAAGGCAGAGGTATGGTGTCAATTATTACTCTTAAAGACCCTGTCTCTCACTTGCGCCCCCCCCCCCCCCCCCCCCCCCCCCTCCGTTTCTTTTATGTATTATACTGTACTATTCTTCCCTCTT